GTCTGGCAGGATTTTCGAGAGGAGACCCTTTGGAGCTGGGCCTTGGAGAACGAGTGAGGGTAAAGTTGAAGGATGAGAGGAAGGGCATTCGAGGCAGAGATACCAGCCTGAGCAAAGGTGCAAGCACCGAGGCTGGAACAGCAGAGACGTGCTCAGGAACCCACCAGTGGTTCTGCGTGACCGCCCTGCAGCCTGGGAGCCGGCAGGAGGCAGCGAGTGGCGCACGGGGAATAATGCTGGGGACTGTCCCTCACCCTCGTGTGAAGATTCATGATGTTCAACACTCTGTTTAACTCGTTGATTATCCTGAACAACCCCAAGAGGTAGGCAAGTCAACATTAGGTCCATCGCTACTTTGGAGACACGGAGACAGGTCAGAGAAGTTAAATGACTGGTCAGAAGTTACAGCACCAGCATATAGCGGAGACCCAAGGGGACCCTCGGACTCCCAGCCTTAATCATCTGCGCTCTTCTGGCACACGCATTGTGCTGAGCACTGCCGGAACAGAGAGAAACAAGACTGAGTTCTCTGTTTTCCGCTACAAAGGCAGATGAGGAAACTCAGATCAGCAGAGGATTGGATATGAAGCCTTGACAGAAAAACAATTACCAAGAATAATCAACATGGGCATAACACTTCACAGTTGCAAAGCACATGAACACACAGAACCTTATTTGACATCTATGAAGACACTCTGTGGCAGAGCATACACATAGTACTTTTATTCCCATTTTTCAGATGAAAAAACTAAGGTTCAGAGATATCAATTGATTTGGCTAAGGTCACACAGCTTGTAGGTGGTAGAGCTAAGACTCAAATACAAGTCTTTCTAATCCCAAATGTACAAAATCCAGGAGGGTTGCTCATTTTCAAATAAAGAAAATTGAAACTCAAAACATTTAAAGTCTCCCAGTTAGGATGACCAACCACCAAACACCATGCAGCCCCCTGTTCTTTAGCCCCAAGCAATACTGTCCTCAGAGTCTTTGGACCCTGGACACGTGAACTAAGGAAAAAATCCTTTGGCCTTTGGATCCAGTCCTTTGCTGTTTCATGCCTAGCTGCCTTTGCACAAACTCTCTGTGAGAGCAGCTACACTTGATGATGGAAAGTTAACCGGGCTATACAAAACCATTCCTTTGGTAGGCGGGCCAGTTAAAAAGCTCCTGACTGAAAATCCACTGTGTTGTGAGGCTCCCGAGATCCTCTGGGCCTTCACAGTCAGGAACAAGGATCAGGAGTTCCGTTGCTCTGGGAAAGAAAGGGCTTAGACTGAGTGTGAGCCGGGCACCAGGCAGGCTGGGCTGCAGGGCAAGACGCTCATTTATTCAAGAAAACATACACACCACTCAACCATTACTGAGCACCTCTTTGTGCCAGGCATTGTTCAAGATGAGCACTGTCCAATGGAGATAATAATACAAACCACACAGGCAAGGCCAGGCCATCCCTGGCCTCGGATGAGAAGCCTGTAGGACAGAGCTGGGTTAACAGAAAAATAAGCCAACATTCACTGAGTGCTTCTTTTGAAGTAGCTGCCCTTCTGAACACAGCATAAACCGTCAATCCCATCCTCTGCCCACTGAGGTAGCAACAGTTACAGGAATCTTTCGGATGAGAAAGTTGAGGCCGGGAGAGCTTGCGTGCCTTGTCCAAGATCACACAGCAAGTCAGCAGCGGAAGCAGGTGTCCAGCCCAACTAGTCTGATCCAGAGCCTCCGTGTGACAACCAGGAGAGGGCTTCGTGGCCATTAAGCCAAGCTCTCCATTTCACCTATGAGGAGGTCCCAGAGAGGGCACGAAACTTAATCACACACAGCAGCACCTAACACCTAGTCCAGTACTCCAAAGTTTGGACTCTAAAGCCATTCCACGCCTCTTTCTTCATCTCCCTCTTCTTTGTGGTAGCTTGACCTTCAACCTGGCCTTGAAGGTAATGGGAACCAGCCCGGGAGTCAGTCAAACAGGAATTTAAATCCTGGCCATACCACTTCCAGTTGTAGGTGCTTGGGCCGGTTGTGTGGTCTCTCAGCCTCAGTCTTCATATACATAAGGTGCTTATGTGGTATTATTCAACTCAAAGTGGGGTTGAAAGGGCTAAAGGAGATAACGTCTGGTCATTCTATATCACTATTCTGTTTTAATTTCTTCATAGCATTTAATACTATTTATTATCTTATTTCTTCATGAATTTACTGAATATTTCTTCCTACATCCCTCTTGCTTTGCCTTATCCATAGCTGCTCTCCAAGTGTCTAGACTGCACGGTCCAGTACAGCAGCCACTAGCCAATGTGGCTGTTAAGCCCTCAAAATGTGCCCTGCCCTGAGATGTGCTCTATGTGTAACCTACACGCGGAATTTCAGGGACTCAGCATGAAAAAAATAGTGTAAATGTAAATATCTCATTGATAATTTGTATATTGATTACATGTTGAAATGATATTTTGGGTATATTAGGTTAAATAAAATATACTAGTAAAATTAACATTTGTTTCTTTTTCCTTTTTTTAATTTAGGTTACTAGAAAATTTTAAATTTCGTATGTGGTTCATAGTATTATTCTTATCAGACGGTGCTCATCCTGAACAACGTCTGGCAGGTACCAGGTGTGCAATAAGTGGCTGAATGAATGCGTACATTTTCTCGAACAAGTGAGTGTCCAGCACAAAGGCGAAAGTAGGTAAATATTAGTTTCTCTCAGTTGGGTGACCCCCATGGGACACGGCTGTCTGCTTTAGCTTAATAAACGAACTTTGGTTAAGGTGTTAGTAGCCAAGAACAGTTTGAAGTGCCATGCATCATGGTAAGATAGGCATTTTAATTGCACCTTTCTAGAAGTCAGACAAAAGTAGGCTTTTTAATCGTCCTGTGGGACCTTCCAGGAAAAAGGTTCCTTTACAAAAGGAAGGAGCCGAAACAACAAATGCCGGGGGAGGTGCAGGTGGGGTGGAGAGGAAACAGCGACCGCGGAGAGGAGACGCGGCCAGCAGGTGCTTGCTCTCACCGCCCACCGCGCAGCGCCTGGCGCCGTCCAGGGGCGCGCGGGCCCTGAGGAACCCCGGTGAGAAGACTGGAGGAGAAGGAGCAGGAGAAGGAGCGCGGAGAACTCCGGGGGCAGGGGGACAGGGCCACCGCCCGCGGGGGAGGGCCGACGTCCACGGGGGCAGGGCAGGGCAGGGGCACTACGGAGCCGACCACAGGGGGCGGGGCCACGGGGAGGTGGGTGCCACGGGGGCGGGGGGCCGAGGGGGCGAGGCGACAGGGATGGGGCCACAGGGGAGGGCCCGCAGGGGAGGGGACACAGGGACTGGGCCGGAGGGGAGGGACCGCAGGGGAGGGGTCACCGGGGGCGGGTCGCCCGGATGCCCGGCGGAGAGCACCCAGCGCAGGCAGCCCCAGGAGGAAGGTCGCGGCCTCCCGCGGGGACTTTCCTGCGGGCGGGCCTGGGATCGCTGGCCTTTGACTTCCCGGCGCAGGCTGGGCCGCGACCATCCTGCGTGGCCTCTGACGCAGGCGCCAGCCCAGTGCCCGCCCAGCCAGTGGAGCTTGTCTTCTCGCCTGGCCTTTTAAGGCCCTCCCTGCCGCCTTCAAGGCTCTAACAAAGTCCTTCTTGTCCCCCAGCCCGGGGGGTTCTCACACTTGAGTGCATCAGAACCACCTGGAGGCTTTATTAATTAGTTAAGTCAATAAATTGATTAAAGTGATAATTGTTATTAGAACACATTGCTGGGCCCCGCTCCTCTGCTATTTCTGATTCAGGGCGTTTAGCGGGGATCCTGAGACTAATGCAGTTCCAACATGCTCGCAGGCGATGCTGATGCAACTGGTCCAGAGACGCTCCCCGAGAACCACTGCTCTGTATGGAACAGCCTTTTCCCACATTTTCCTCCTCATGCAATCCGTAGCTTGTTCAGTCTCCCTCCGAGCTTGGAACCCTTGACAGCTCGGGAAACAGGTGGGGCGAGAGACCTGCATTAGAGCAAAGCCAGGAGGGCACCAGGGAATCCCAGCTCCCAGTCCAGGGGGCTTTCCACCGCATCGTGCTTCCTTTAGTCCCTTGGGAGGCAGATGTGTGGGACCCAGAACAGGGCAGAACTCTGAGCAGTAAGAGCTGAGTGGGAAGCAAAGTTCATCAAGTCCAGCTGCAGGACAGGGAAAGCAGACCCCTTTCCTTCGAGAGAAGAGAGGGCGAATGGAGGACGCCTGTTGGCCAACCGAACCTGCCCTCAGCAGAGCCCACCAAAAAAGTGCTAACTGAGCAGTGGCTACTCTGTGCCAGGCACTGTCTGGGTGTTGGGGCTAATGCAGGAAATAAAACTGAGATCAGTGTCTTTAGGGAGTGTGCTTTCTAGTAGGGAGATTGACAGGAAACATAATAAAAGAGTAAATTATTGAGTATGTTAGAAGGTAATAAATGCTATGGAGAAAAACAAGAGTCAGGTAAGAGAGTACCAATGGGGGTTGCAATTTTAAATAAGATGGTTAAGGTAGGCCGTATTGGAGGGTGACATTTGAACCACAAGTTAAGGTAGTTGGCCATGTGATAGCTGGAGGAAGAATGTTTCAGGCAAGGGGAATAGCCAGTGTAAAGGTCTTGAGGCAGGAGCATGTCTGGTATGTTCAAGCCTCAGGAAAGAGGTTACCGTAACTGGAGTAGAGATGGGGTAAGGGAGGAGCCAGGTAAGAGATATCAGAGAGGGAAGCAGGCAGGCAGGAGCCATGTACAGGACTGGGGGGCCACTGTTAGGGGCTTGATTTTTACCCTAAGATGTTCCTCTATTTCTTTACGTTTTTGCCCCGATGCTTCTTTTTTCTTTTTCTTAAAGATTGGCCCTGAGCTAACATCTGTTGCCAATCTTCTTTTTTCTTCTTTTTCTCCCCAGAGCCCCCCAGTACATGGTGGTATATTCTAGTTGTAGGTCCTCCTGGCTCTGCTGTGTGGGACGCCCCCTCAGCATGGCCTGATGAGCGGTGCCATGTCTGCACCCAGGATCTGAACCCGCGAAACCCTGGGCTGCCGAAGCAGAGCATGCGAACTTAACCACTCGGCCATGTGGCCAGGTCGCTGCCCTGCTTTTTCTGGCCTCTTCCATCTACAATATGGGACTCACGAAGAGCATTAACCGTTCCCTGGCTCACAGCTAGAGCTGGTTTGGAGGAAGAGTCAATTTCCAGTAAGTCAGTGCGCCCCAGCATCTCAGATTTGGGGTTCACAGAGGTTAAAATCACTCTGTGTGATCCGCAGAATAGAGGTTGGAGGTTCATACCAGCCTTCGGCATCCTCTTTCTCTCCTCCCCTCGTGCCCCACAGCGGCTCTGATGTGCCTGCTCCCTGAGGCTCCCAGCCCTTCTAGGACAGCACCGTCCTTTCAAAGTACAACGTGAGCTACACACACGATTCAACATTGTCTAGTGGCCACATTTTAAAAAGTAAAAAGAAACAGGTAAAATTGATTTTAATAATACATTTGATTTAACCCAATATATCCAAAATATCATCAGGTCAACATGCAATCAATACAAAACATTGATGAGGTGTTTTACGTTCTTTTCAGTGCGAGTCTGAAAGCCGGTCGCATTTACTCCTAGGGCACCTCAGTTCAGATGAGCATTCCTCGCTCCGCAGCCTGGGGTGGCGAGTGGCCACATGGACACACAGTCCTAGGCTGTCCTGTGCTTCCCCGCCCCGCCCTCCTCAACATTACCAACTCATCCTGTTTTCAGGTGGAGCTGACACGTCCTTCAGGAGCCTTCATTGATTTCTCCACTTCCCTCTTTGGCCTGTCAGAATTAATTTATGTGGAATATTTAGAATAGTTAGAATAGTTCTTGGGACATAGTAAGTGTAATTGAAGTCTTAGCTGTCATTATTATACCATTTACTGCAATGTTAATAAACTGGTTGGTTCTATCTCTTATTTCCTGGTTTTCTCTCCCCATTATGCTGAAAGCTCCATGGGGAGAAGGGACCATGCCTACCTTTTTTTTTTTTTTTTTTGCTGAAGAAGATTCACCCTGAGCTAATATTTGTCGCCAGTCTTCCTCTTTTTCTTGCTTGAGGAAGATTCACCCTGAGCTAACATCCACTGCCAGTCTTCCTCTGTTTCGTTTGTGGCACATCACCACAGCATGGCCGCTAACAGGTGCTGTAGGTCCACACTCCGGAACCAACATGGGCTGCCACAACTTAGTGCACTGATCTCAACTACTAGGCCATGGGGCTGGCCCCAGTGCCTGCCTTTTTGACTGCTGTGTTCTCAGGGCCTTGAGTCTGGCACAAGGAGATGAATATTCGATATAAATTTATTGAATGAATGAATAAGTGACTACGAAAGTATGCTTGGAGTTATGATTAAGTGTTTTAATTCTAACATTACAGGAGATAGTGATCACAGTCCTGCATGACAATATCAGGTTCCATTTTACAGAGGTTGAGACAGTAGACACTAAAGACAGATGATATCTGGACTCAAAATGGAAACAGCAGGTGGTGCCGGGGACAGGCCCCAGGCGGTGAATTCAGAGGGATCTGGGTCTGAAGTCCTGTTACCTCACCGACCGCTTGTATGACCTTGGAGAGAGGTTAGTTAACTTCTCCAAGCCTCAGTTTCCCCTTCTGTAAAATGAGGATATGAGCATCTCTTAATATTATATACCTTCATGTACAGTAAGTTTGTAAATGGCAGGAACACAGGCCCTAATCTCAGCTCAGCTACCCTTGGGGCGGGTTTGCTAACCCCCTGTGCCTGGATAGCTACTGTGTGTGTGTGTGTGTGTGTGTGTGCGCGCGCACGCGTGCAGGCGCGTGCACATGCATGCGTTGTTCATATTTAATGAGAGAGAAACCTTACATGTAAAGGTTTGGTACGTAGTAGATGCCATGTTGGTGTCCTCACTTCTTTAATTTTCATCCGGCAGCATGTGATCTGTCTTTTCTCCTTCTCCTTCTCACGTGAAGGAGGAGAGCGCCAGCAGTTCATTTGCAGTTTCGGGGACACTGAGCCTGCTGCCTAGTAGTGCGTCACAGGTTCAAGTTAAGAAAAAGCCCTTAGGCAAAACCCTAAGCCTGCCACTGAGGTCTTCCCGCCCTTTGCCTCCTCCTCAGCCTCCCTTCTTCCAGAAGGTCCTGCCCTTGGTCCTCGCAAGTTCCTGCATTTTCTTGTCTCTCTGGCTTCCATAAACAAAAGTAATTTTGAATTTTGCTGCATGTTAAAGAGGAATGCCAGGCACCTAGAAAAGCTTACCGCTTGCTGCTCAGCGGCCCCGGCTCTCCACAGCCCTGCTGCAGCACTCTCTCCATTACTTCCTGCGGGACTGCGAGGGCTTTTCCCCCGCCAGACCTCTGAAAGTTGTGGGTAGATACAGTCACATCTCTCTGGATCCCAGTCCTGGATGCATAGTAGGTGCTGGCTAAACACGTGTTAATTGGGTACGTGAAGCATGATGCCTGTGTGACTGTTCCTGATGGCTTCCTCGCCAAAGTGCCCGGAAGACTAACAGATGTACGTGGTCAGAGTGGTAACTCGAGGAGGCTGGATGCTGGTTTAGAAGTGAAACTGGACACGCTGAGAAGCTCCCCCCACTGCCTGCTTCCCTTTGGTGTCCTCTGGGGACGAAGGGGAGGCAGGAGGAGCTGGGAGCCCAGGAGCGCTGACAAGGTGCCCTCCTCAGCACTGAGTCAGCAACCCCCGGCCCCGTGCACACAGGAAGATCCTGCTGGCAGGCGCTGAGTCACAGGAATGACTGGAATAGTTGTTTAGATCATAATGAATTCCCAGAACCTTTCCAAGCCAACCAGCAGGCACATGCTCTCTCCCTACCCCAAGAGCTTTCCAGTTTTGTGACTTTGCAGAAAGACGGACCTGAGCCTGGGTGTCTGGAGGGAGGGCAGCAGGGGAGTGGGGAACAGGAACCCCCACCAATCCCATCACTCAGCGCCGCAGGTCGTTCGTTCCCTTTCACGCTCCCAGGAAGATGTAGAAAGAGACTGGCATTGTGGGCATGAATCCTGCACAGGCTGCACGGCTGCAGTGTCAACTGGGTGAGGTGTGGACCAGAGGCCCTGGCAGCTCGTGGGGAGCAGCCAGGGTGTCAGTGGATGCTAACTGCCCTGGGAGCCCAGGCAGGTTATCCTCTGTGGAAAAGTCATTAGAGGTCTGTGTACTTGGATGAAACAAGATATCTAAAATGCAGCCCCAGGAGAAACTACGACAGAGGGGGAGACTGGCCTCGAGGCATTGTGGGATTGGTGCATGAGTCTACAGGTTGCATCTTCTCAGCTGCAAGTCGAGACCCCAGCACCTTCCAGAAATGCCTGTCCTGAGGACTGCAGAAGCCCTTAGTGAATGCCCTGTCCAAAATACTGCTCAGTTCAAAGCATCTGTCCTTCCTGAGAGCACTCACAGAAGACCTTGGGCTTCTGAGATTTTCCCTACCCTCCTTGACACCACATCCACTGTGAATGCCCCACCCAGGTCAGCGAATAGCCCCTGCTGCCACATCACTCATGCTTGTGTTTGCTCTGAGGCAGTGCTTCCCAAACGTGGGCACACATCAGAAGCACCTGGAAGGCTTATTAACACAGATTTCCGGGCCCACCCTCAGAGTTTCTGGCTCAGTAGGTCTTGGAAGGGGCCAGGAATATGCCTTCTTAGCAAGTTCCCAGGAGATGCTTATGCTACTGGTTCAGGGATCACACCTTGAGAACCATTCCTCTAAGGCAGAGTTCTTAAATGTATTCTTAGGTCAGAAACCCATTTGAGAACCCCTGGTAACTCATTTGATAAGTCTGGCCATTCCTTCCAGAAAAATAATACACAAATGCTGAAAAACATACAAACTTGATTACAATTTCAGGGTTCCTTAGACCTGCAGAAATTCATCCATGAATGTCTAGGTTAAAAGAACTCCTGAGTCAGGGTCCAAACCAGAATTCACAGTGAAATGCAAATTCATAAAGGACAGGAAAGCAAATTTTATCACTAAGAGCAGAGGTGTTTCATAGCAAAGTGGTTGAGTGTTTGTTTCCATTCAAATCCTAGCTCCACCACTTACCAGCTGTGCTTCAGTTTCCACATCTGCAGATGTGATTGATAATAGGACCTACTGCATAGGGTTTTGTAAGGATTGAATGAGTTCATACATGCAGTATAGAATAGAGCCTGGCACATAGCATACACGCAATAATTGCTCCCCACCACTTCAGCTCAATCAAGTCCTATTGATTCAACTTCCACGTATACTCCAAGCCCTCTCTTGCCCATCCCAACATCCATAGTCCTAGTTTAGGTACCAGCCACGTCTAGTCTACCATATTGCAATATCTTCCCAACTGCTCTCTTTCTTCCAGTTGCTCCCCATTCCAGTGCTTCTTCCGCACAGCCTCCACAGTGACCTTTCTAAAACCCATCTCGTCTTGTCATTCCCCCGTGTAAAACCTTCCGAAGGTCCCCCTATCACTTCTAGGAGAAATCTGAGCTCTTGAGCATGGCGTATGAGGTGTGCCTTGATCTGGGCCCTGCCACTTCTTGGACCTCATTGCTCAGTGCCCTCCTCTTTCTCCCTCCTGTTCCGGACAAAGAAAGCACAGGCTGATTCTAGGTGCACTACACTTTTTCACACGCTTGCCTTAACTCCTAATGCTTACTCTGCCCCAAATGCCCTTCAGCCCCCTTTGAGGCAAACTTCTACAGGATATTCTTCAAGACCCAGCAGGAGGAGTCTCTTCTCTGCCACTTTCCGTGAACCCCAGGGAGAAGTGATCTCCCTTATTTGTGACCTATTTACTTTGTGCAGCATGCTCCCTCTAACCCTTCAGTGCCCATGTATGTTCCTGAGTCTGTGGAAGACACTGTTGGTTCTTCTCCCAATAACCACTCTCATCTTCTATTTCCCAGACTTCCCTGTAGATAGGGTTCCGAATGCAAATTGAGTCCCACCAGTGGACGCACACGTATGAGATTTGAAAAGTAGAAATGAAACAAAGGAAATCTTGCTGTTTTAGATGTTTCCTGCTGGCAAGCACAGTTGTGGAGACACGAAGTTTTTCTGCATCATATTCCAGTAACTAGTCAACAGTTCTATGATTGTCAAGAGTCAGTTTTCAGTGAAGCAATAACGGCTTCCCAGTTCTGGCTCTCTGGTCCCTAGATTGAGAGTATGTGATATGTTACAGATTCTAGAATCTGGAACTCCATATTCGATTTGAGGCCTCCTGATTTCCACCTTCCTGATGGTGCAGAGGTAGCAGCTGGAAGTCACCACTGGTGCCTACAACCCATGCCTCCAGTCCTTGAAATGGTTTTCAAGCATCCAATCCCCATATTAAAATCCTTTCTTCTTTAAATATCCAGAATAGCTTTCGTTCCTTGAATTGAACACTGAATGCTGTTGTGAGCTATTAGTAGGCTAAGACCGTGTCTCATTCATCTTTGTATCCTTTGTGTCCTAAATTGTCAAAACAGGTTTCTGAAAAGTGAACCCCTTAAAGAAGTGGGTGGGGTCACTAACCTGAGTTGGAGAAGGGCTAGATTGCCAGTGGGCTGAGGGCATGTCATTTATTTCTGTTCAGCCAATGAGCTTTGAGGGCAGAGCTGCTCTCAGACCAGCCAATAAACACACACACACACACACACACACACACACACACCCCATCACCAAAATAACGAAGAGTAGGGACTGACTGAAAAGCTGGAACAAGAGCGCCAGTTTTGAAACAGGAAGACTAGGACTCTGCTCCTCACTGTGGGAGCACGCTAACCGTGCTCTCCTCCGCGACGACCCCTCAGGAGAGCTCGGAGAGGCCAGGAGAGCATGAGGGGAAGGGACCGACTGGCTGGCCTACGAATACGCTCTGGGGGAACCGTGGAGCTTGGAGAAAACAACAAGCACCGGCGGGCGTTACCGGCCTGGCTGTGCGGGGTACAGCGAGGGCCATACTCTGCAAAACTCTAAAAAGCATATAGGGGGAAATTCATGAGCTTTAGAGATCAGACTGCCTCCTGATCAAACGCCAGGTCTGCTGCTAATCTCTGTGTAACCCGAGGCCAGTGCTTCCACTGCAGGAGCCTCTCCCCTCGCTCACACACTGAGGCGCGCAGTCCTCGCCCCCAATGGATAAGCTGCCTGCACAGGGCCGGCAGGACCTCAGTCTCTGCAAGCCCCCTTTGATCTCAGTCTCTGGATGGCCTTTAAACTGCCCGGTATTCTTTCTAATTGTAACACTTTGCTCTATAAAATAATTAATTTAGTGTTTTGTTTTGTTTAGTTTTCTAATTATGGTTCCTGAAGGTAAGGCACTGAGCTTTATGTAAAGTGTGATTTCTCTCGATTCATTCCTTTTGTTTGAAAGGCTTAAGGGAGGAAGTGAGATTCCCAGAAGTTTTTTAAATGCAGAGAGGGTGGGAGGGAGGAGGGAGCCCTTCCAGGAAGATTGCTCCTGCCAGCTGGGGAGAGAGTGCAGAAACTTGGCCTTCTGGTCCCTGTGGAATCGTATTATCCCCGCTCATCAACAGGGCTATTAGCATTTGAGTCTAAGCCAGTCTTTCTGGGGCACCCCTGGGACTCCGGGTTGAAAGCAACCTCTCCTTCCAACTGCCCTCTGTAATCTATTGCAGGTTTATCGCTATGGATTTCTCCACCAAAAGGACTAGAAGCTTCTCATTTAGTGAGAGAGATGGCTGTCTCAGATGTCTCACCTGCCTTTCCTCCAACATACTGTCATGTTTCCTTAGGGTAGAGAGTACCAGACATTCTTCAGGAAGGATCTAAGCCCTAAACGCTGGGAAGGCTGTTTGTCCCTTTAATGAGTCTGTGAGGTTCCACAGGCCCCCTTGGCGTCTTTCACAAAGCCAGCTATTGGGTTCATCCAGGACAGGTAGGACTAAGGGACCAAGCCTCACAGGGACTGAAGTGACCCCTGGGCGGTGCTAGTGATGACACTTAAACTTCAGCAACGTCAGCCATAGGGGAACTTGGAGAGATGGCCCCCCATACGTGCGTGGGAGTAGAAATCAGAACTAGGAAGAAAATTCCCATTGCTCAGTGCACACATGTACATAGCATAGTGGCAGCGGATTTTGTAGCTCATGCACACTGGGCATGAAACAGTTAAACTGCCCACTTCTGAGCTTCTATAGCCAGTGGGAATGTTTGATGTTACTGCACAGGAAGCATCTCCTGGAGTGAATAATCCCTCCACGGCAGGGGGCCTTTCTGCAGGTTGAACCTTGCCTGGAAGCTGCTCTTTTCTTGTCAGAGAGCCATGGGCAATAGCTGGCACCCTGCTCTCCTGCCCTGCCCTTCCTCCCACCAAGAACACGGCATGGGCCGCTCAGTGCCCAGGGAGATGCTCAGAGCATGGAGTGGAGAGCCACAGAGCTACTACTGTGCTGTGCAGAATGGGGGAAAATAAATGTCCTCGTCAGCCGCTGATGACCATCTGTATCTTTAGCCCCTACAGACCGAGAGACTGAGGATTCTTTACCGTTACTTTAAAAAAATAACCCCCATGGAAGTGACCATTGTTTTGTCTAACCGGGCAGAATATAGGCAAGGAGGAACTCAGAAGGGATGTTGTTGTTAGTGCCATGGAGTCATTTCTGACTCCTAGGGACCCCGTGTCCAGGAGAGTGGAACTCTGCCCTGTCTTTTTACACCATCCTCTCACCTTCCTGTGCCGCATCAGACAGTGTGCCCTGCTATTTATAGGGTTTTCGTGGCCAATTCTTTTGGAATTGGGTGGCCAGGTCCTTCTTTCTAGTCTGTCTA